TTGGAATGGCCCTGGCGCCAGGATCCCGAATACAGCCCAGCAAAGGAGTCGTGCAACAAGACCAAGAATCTGGTCAGCGCCGGCTTTGTCATTCTTGGTGTCACCAACAACCCGGAACTGCTGATGGCCTGGGAGTCTGACAACACCATCTATGGTCGCTCGTTCAACCCATACGATCTGAGCCGCAACACTGGCGGCAGTTCGTCAGGTGAAGGTGCCATTGTCGGTGCTGGTGCCTCTGTTGTTGGCCTTGGGTCGGACATTGGCGGCAGTATCCGCATGCCGGCATTCTTCTGCGGCACATTTGGCCACAAGACCACTGCGTCGTGGATGCCCGAGGAAGTCAAGACCTGGGCGTCGCCGAGGACCAAGGAGAAGGCTCTCTGCGGCACTACCGGCCCCATCTGCCGCTACGCCGAGGATATTGCGCCTTTTGTGTCGTCTCTAATCGGCCGCGACATTGGCGATCCGCGCTCGGTTGATGTGAGCAGCCTGAAGGTTGTTGCTTTCCCCGAGGGATTTGGCTGGCAGCTCCTGATCTCCAGCGTCGAGCCTGATGTCCGCCAGTCCATTGTCAACGTCGCCAACTTCCTGGGACAGCAGGTTGTCGGACAGAGCAATGTTTCGTTTGCCAAGATGCCCCGTGAGTTTGGCATGGCCACCCAGCTCTACACCCCGTACCTCAACACAGGCGAGCTTTCCTTCTTCCAGGCCGTCGTGGGCCCGAAGAGCAAGCCATTCAGCTGGAAAACCGAGCTCATTCCGTTCCTGTGCGGAAGGTCAAAGCACACGTTCAATCCGTTCATCCTGGCGTGGATGGGCGGCAACCCAGCGAAAAGTCTTACCCGCGAGAAGACGCTGCCGTTCTGGAACAAGGTTGACAAGTTCTTCACCGACCTCATGGGCCGACAATGGTGTCATCATCTTCCCGCCGCATCCGCTGAAGGCCCAGCCGCACGGTATCTCGTACTTCAACATGCCCAACTTCATTTACACCGGCCTGTTCAACATTCTGGGCTACCCGGTGACCCAGGTCCCGGTCGGTCTCAGCGAGGACGGCATCCCGCTTGGTGTCCAGGTCGTTGCCAAGAACGGCGAGGATCTGAAGGCCATTGCTGTTGCTCTGGTCCTGGAGAAGCGCTTCGGCGGATGGGTCCCGCCCCGCCGCTTCGGTGCCCCGATCACGGAGCAGGAGTCCGAGGCTCTCTATGCCCACAAGAAGTCAAACTAATTTTCACCGAGTGTTGTTCGAATGTACTGTTATGTGTCCCGCAATGATGAAGAAATGTAATGTATTTGTAGCCATTGCTACACAGATACACAGGGACTGGGCACAGCAAGGAGAATTCCTGCTGGCTGCGGCAGCTGATGCAGATCACCAACCAATCTGCGCACGAGGGCTTTGGGCCTGAGCTAATTATTTGGCAACACAATACACATGGCGGGTTGGAAACCCCCGGGCTTGCATTCTGTTGCTTCTCTCCGAGTGCTTTCTCTATTCTTTCGGCATACTGACAACACAACTATGCTCTATGCCCAATCTAGTTCGCAGCAGCAGGCACAGACAACGACAGCTCCCGACAGGGCACGTTGCACCAACGGCACTAAAGAGGGCATGGTAGCGCAGGATAACAAGACGTTTGTCTGCAGCAGCAACCCCACAGAGGCCAGCCAAGGCTATGCACAGCTGGTGCGCGCCGGACCTCTTATTTACATTTCGGGTGTCAGCGCGCTCGACAGCCACAGCGGCCGGATGCCTGCACACCTTGTGCTCGAGGCTGCTGGCCAGACGCGCGCAATAATGAGGCGGATTCGACAGCTTCTCGAGACAGTCGGCTGCTCCGAAAAGAGCATAGTGCGCATGAGGATTTATGTGGTCGACATGGTCCGTGACTCGCGTCAGATACAGCTGGCCATGACGCAGTGGCTCAACGAATCGGCTGAAGGCGCTGCCATGAAGCCAGGAATCACCATTGTTGAGGTTCGTCGTCTGTCGTCGGAGCCTGTGCTGCTGGAGGTCGAAGCCGATGCTGTGAACCTGTAGGACCAACATTGATATTCAAAATATATGCATTTCCAACCCACTGCCCCACTGAGCTGGGGATATGTTTTTGTGCTGCAATATACCTGTGCAGCTACCACTGTCTTCTCTTCACCCACCCGTCAGCACCAACTGATGTCCACAGCGCCGTCCTCCCGCCGCCCATGGTTTCGGCTGCTGAAGACAGCACGGGCATTGAGGCTCCCCGTGAGCTGGCTGGTGCTATCCTGATCCCTGACGACACTGAGCGAAACGACAGCCCAGTATCCGACTGCACATAGGTCAGGGACGAGTCCGGCAATGCCGGCCAAGCCTTTTCGGCACTGGATGCTGGCTGCAGGCCACTCCTGTGGTTCAGCCGTTTGAAGAACTGCTTACACCGTGCCAGCATACTCTCACCCGACGGCTGGGCCTCATCGCATGCTGTGCTCATGGAAGACACAGTTGAGCATGCCAGTGTGCTGCGCGAGCTTGATATCGCTGATTCTAATGAGCTGGGGGTGGTGCCGTTAGAAATATCCTCCATTGCCGAGTCGTCGCTTGCTGACTGCGATGAGATGCTCATTGAACTGCCCACCGTAAAGTGTATTCGCCGGTTGTCCATATGTATGGAGTTGGATGGTCCCCTTGGCCGGTGCAAGTTGGGTGTATGTGATCGTGAACTTAGTGGTTGCGAGTTTGTACAATGCACAATGCGCCGCAGCTGTCCCTCAACGGCAGCGGCGCTGCGCCAATGTGTATCCACATAAGCTGGCCCGGCACGGGAGCCGACTGCCGGCCTGTGCGCCCGGTGGGCAGATGCTCGGCTTGTAATAGCTCCATGTCTGCTGTGGGGTATGCGGGAAGGCGTCCTGGGCACGACAAGTCGCCCTTCGTTCTGTCCGATAGTCCATTCTGTGGGAAGCATAATTTTATACAATACGTGTTATTTGAGTACGATAGGTGGCGAGAGTGGAGAGTAAAGAATATGCCCTCAATGCTCATTTATTTGCTTCCTCATGCAAAAGGGACAGTGGCGATAGGCAGCCCTATTAGTAACACCTCTGCATATGTCCGAGTCCCCTTGGTTCACTCGAGCATGTCTGCGCAAAGGCATTCCAAGCCTGCATGGCTTGGCTTAGAATATGACCTTTCTGTGCAGATATTTTGGCAGTTGCATCTCCTGAAGGTCTCATTAAACCTGACGTGTTTAGCTCTGAAAGCGCCTGCCAATGCGCATTTTACTATCCCTTTTTCCTGTTCTCATACTCTAGTCCTCGATGCGCAGTAAACCCAGTGCCTCATACCCAAGCCGTTGATGTTTGCCACTGTGTATGGCTACCTCACGAATTCTAGAATCGCGACCGCAATATGCACGTCTTCCTAGGGCAGAGTCGATGCTCCGACTACGCAATGGGCAAGTAAATAACACTATTGTCTGACAATATCCCGAAACAGCAGAATATGCATTGGTTTTATTAGCACCGGTTACTGGTGAAAAGTAACTGAGCCGACATATTTAAACGCAGGCGGATGGCCGGGACCAAATGTAGCCAGTGGCTACGACAAAGCCAACCTTGCACCCCATGCAGCAGATGCCTCCTTTCAGTAAATTGTTTCTTGGCAACATCCTACAAACGCATTTACATGTGTCTATGAATTTTGCCGCCGCTGCTGCTGCTGCTGCTCAAGCTGCTGCTGGCGTTTTCGTTTCGCCGACTCCTTCAATCTATCCCACCGCTCTCTGTACTTTTCCATCTGCGCCTTCTACGCATATAATGATAGCCATAGATTAGCAGTGCACGGCGCCGATGGCCAAGCTTTCGTCATATCTACGCACGGCCAAACTCCTTACCTGTTTGCTGTTTTCTAGCTGCATGGATTGCAGTTGCGCCTCAAGCTGGCGGATTTGCACCTCCGCTGCTGGCGGGCTCTGGTGCGTAGCCATCATCCGGCGCGCGATAGGACTGTGCTCGTGGATCCGAGGCAGCGACACCGCGTTGGCGTGCTTGTGGAATTCCTCGCGGAAGTTCAAGATGCTGCTTTTGAGCATGTTGTTCTCCTGAGCGGCAGACTCGAGCAGGGCTATCCGGTCTTGCAGCGCACCTACAATATCACGCAGCTTCTGGTTCTCGGCAAGTAGCGCCTTGTTGACCTCAAGCACATGGGCAGAGTCGGCTTGCGACCCGCTGTGTGCGGCAGGCTGGGACTCGGCCTCCTCGTCATCCTCGGCAAGAGCTGGCAATGGAGACATCCCCTTTGGGCTGCCAGCGACTGATGCATACACGCTTGCTGTCTGGTCGGGGTTTGCGCCTACAAGATAAAACGACTCCATCACACTGCGGCTCGCGGCAGCCTGGTAATTGCCACTGCCCGCTCCACGACTCCCAGGCGGCTTGACCGGCCTAGTGAATGCTGTCGGGTTGGCCAGCCAGTTCTGCATGTACTGCCAAAAGTCCTCAAAGTCCTGCTCCTCAGCATCGTGCCTCTGCCGCGCCTCCTCGCCGGGGGACAATTCTGTAGCAGGCGGACTGCCGGTGCCTGCCGGCGATGCTGGTGTGTTGGTTGCTAGGCTTTGCCGGTCGCTGTCGGCTGTATCAATGCTCGGATGCTCGTTCTCACGCTCGCAGTACTCGGCCCATCGCATGTGCTTGTTGACAAGCGACGAAAGCGTCAGTGTAGCTACAGGATCAAAGTCATAGCCGCTTACTGCACGGTATGCCTGCGCTGCTTGCCGGTGCAGCCGAGCTGCATCGCTCCACTGGCACTGCTCTTCGAATTCAGACGCCTGCCGCGCCAATTTGCCTGCATTCTCCATTTGAGCAAGAAAAAAGCAATATAAAAAAGCCTAGAGAGAAGAAGAGAAGAGTGATAGCGGCCGTCACAACAAGTGGCCCGTGACCTCATCGACAGTGACTGAACAGACAAAAGTTGATATTACAATTTACTGGACTAGCTTATTCTGGCTGAACTGTTCGCGCTACGCCGATGCTGTGGGAGCAGCAGAGCCCTTGGAGTGATGCTGCAGGTCATTAAATGCCCGGCCAGCAGCCTTGCCCTTGTATACGCTCACACACCCTTTCTTCGCATCCTTCTCGCACTTGCCACCAATATACAGGTCTGTGCCGCTCTTCCCGCCAAACTCGAGATTGCCAACGCTCATGATTCCTGGCACATTGATATACGCAAGGAGCTTGCCCGACGGAGAGAGCTTGGCGACCTTGCCATTGCCATTACGAGCGACATACAGGTTGCCCTGGGTATCAGTGCGCATGCCATCAATATCAATGGCAGCAGACTTGTCGAGCTTGCCAAAATCCGCAAACACGCGCTTGTTTGAGATCTGGCCGGCCTTCGAGTTGAGATCAAACGCGTAGATGATATTGGAGATGACCGCGCCGCCCTTGTTGGTTGACTCTGACAGATACAGCGTCTTCTCATCGGGGCTGACCTCGATGCCGTTTGTCCGCTGGAACTGGCCTAGCTTGGTTGCCTTGCCATTCTTGTCGCATGTCCACAGATCGCCGTCGCCGACCTTGGTTGTGGCCTGGTAGTTCATGCCCGACAGGAACACACGCCCGCTGGACGGTGCAATTGCAATATCGTTAGGCTGCAGCATGCCTGGATCCTGGCAAAAGACCGTAGCGTTCCGGAAGCCCGCAGAGGTGCGGTCGGACAGACGCACGACACGGTGGTTGATGGCATCGGCTACGAAGGCCTGCTCGTTGCCACTGCAGTCAGCGCTGAACCGGATGCCGTTGAACAGCGAGGTTGGGTTGGCCTTGTCTTGGTACATCAGTTTCTGGGAGGGCACAGCTTGTCCGATGGCGGCCAGCTGTCCATTAAAATTGACAGCAAAGATGCTGCCAGCAGAGTCGACGGCCAGCCCCTCGATACCCCCGCCAAACTTGCTGTTCGACGATGTTACAACCGGTGTGGCCTTCAGCGTCTCCACGGCCAGCGTGGCAGAGAAAAGGGAAGCGAACACGAACGAAATCTTCATGGTGTATTGATACAAGTCAGGGTGGACAGCTGTGGAATGCAGAGATGTAAGGGTGAGAATGAGATGAGATGATGTAAAAAATCTTGAAGGGGTCGCATGACAGGGTCTTATATACTGCTTGCATTGCCGATGTGTTTGCCAAGGCAGCCCAACAAGGGGACGCCTTCTACGCCATCAGGCATGAACCGCGGATCTGCATGGACGCATTTGTTGTCTACTCAAAAATAGAACATAGTTGTCGTCGCCTCGAGTGTATTTTTAGGAGAATGCCTTTGTGGGATATTGGCTACAAAGAACTTTTGCCAAGAGACAGATATCTAGATTGCCAATCGCATACATTTTTAACCCCCAGACAGTGTAAAAAAAACATGGAGACCATGCGTATGTTCTATAATCTTTTCATATCCTATGCCCAGTCGCAGTAGATGCTGGAGCCACTCTGCTTGCACACAGTCCCGCTGGCGCACGACTGCTGGAGCCAGGCGCCGTTGTTGCAGATAGCATATTTGGGCGATGATCCTGCACTGGCACACTGGAACTGGCCTTGGAGGGCTGCATCGCAAACGGTCGGCGATCCTGTGGCAGTGGTCGAAGTAACCGGGGATGAGGTGCTAGCCCGAGATGTGCTGGAAGCGGTACTGGTGCTTGTGGCAGGCGGGGTTTTAGTTGCGGCTGTCGAGGTTGTGACCACTGCTGCCGTAGTCGAGGACGTAATTGGACCGGAGGCCTGCAGCTTGTTGAAGGCATTGCCAACAGCAGGGCTCTTGTACACGCTCACACACCCCTTGCTCGTGTTGTCAGCACAGGCACCGACAATGTATAGGTCTGTGCCACTGGCACCGCCAAACTCGAGATTGCCAACGCCCATGATTCCTGACACATTGATATACGCAAGGAGCTGGCCCGACGGAGAGAGCTTGGCGACCTTGCCAATGCCATTACGAGTGACATACAGGTTGCCCTGGGTATCAGTGCGCATGCCATCGATGTCAGTGGATGCAGTGTTGTCGAGCTTGCCAAAATCAGCAAACACGCGCTTGTTGGATATAGCCCCTGTCTTAGCATCGAGGTCAAATGCGTAAATGACGTTCGAGATGACCGCCCAGTCCTTGTTGGCCGACTCCGATAGATACAGAGTCTTCTCGTCGGGGCTGACCTCAATGCCGTTGGTGCGGTAGAAGACGCCGAGCTTGGTTGCCTTGCCAGTACTATCGCAAGTCCACAAGTCGCCATTGCCAATCACATCAGTAGCCTGATAGTTCATGCCCGACATGAAGATTCGGCCAGTGGAGTGCGCAATGGCAATGTCGTTGGGCTGCAGAATGCCCGGGTCCTGGCACAGCACGGCGCTGTTCTGGAACGAGCCCGAGGCATTGCGGTTAGTCAGCCGGAGCACCCGATGGCCGGTGGCATCGGCGATGTAGGCTTCCTCGTTGCCACTGCCATCGACCCGGAACCGAATGCCATTAAACAGAGCACCACCAGTTCCCTGGTACAGCAGAGACTGACTAGGCGAGACCTTGCCGGCAGCTGCCGAATTGGCATTGAAGTTGACGGCATAGATATTTCCAGCACGGTCGACACCGGCACCCTCAATGCCACTGCCAAACTGGCTGTTGGATGACGTAAGATAAGGCGTAGCCTGGAAGGTGTCCACGGCCAGCGCGGCAGAAGCAAGAGAAGCAAGGGCGAACGAGAGTTTCATGTTAAGGGCAAATTATATGTTGAAATGGCTGTGCTGCTCTGCCCATTTGTCGTGGATGGGATGGTGAGTTTAAATAGGCCCCGACTAGCATTTAGTATCCTTACCACGGAGCCCAGTAGTAAAATTAAGTGACGCCGCGGTGCATGGCATTGCACGCTAAGCTTGCCCGGGCTTGTTTTGAGCCTGTTTTGCCATGTGGCTACAGGGGAAATCCCAAAGAAACCGGCATGTCACATGTAGCGCCCGCTCCTCCGCTGGCTGTCATAATCCAAGGCTCAATGTTGGCGGACTCGGCGGGTTTGGCTGGAATGCTGGCCTGGGCTGCACATGCAAAGGACATCCTAGTCAAGCTTGGTACACCTCAATTACGTATCGATGAAGAATTCTGGAAGAGAACTAATGGTGATCCGGTCCCTCCTATGCAGATCGCAATTTTTTGCGGCATATTCTGCGGAAGGGGGATAAATCAGTGCTTCTTTTGCAGGTTGGCGAAGGCTCGGCCCTGGCTCTTGTTGCCAACAAAGCGCTCGACACATCCCTTGGCGGGGTTGTCGACGCAAGCACCGACAACAAACAGGTCCTTGCCCTTGGGGCCAGCCAGCTCCAGGTTGGTCACCTCCTTGATGTTGCTCAGCTGGAAATACGCCAGCAGCTTGCCCTTTGGCGAGATCTTGGCCACCTTGCCCGATCCCCACCGGGCCACATACAGGTTGCCGTCGACATCAGCACGCATGCCATCGACATCGTTCCCAGCAGTGCCATCGAGGGTTGCGAAATCGACAAACACGCGCCGATTCGAGATCTTGCCTTGGCAGGCGTCCAGGTCAAATGCCAGAATCTGGTTAGACACGACCTCACCGCCCTTGTTGATAGCCTCCGACAGATACAGCGTCTTCTCATCAGGGCTGACCTCGATACCATTGGTGCGGTAGAACTCGCCCAGCTTCTTTGCCTTTCCGCTCTTGTCGCACGTCCACAGATCGCCGTCGCCGACGACCGAATCGGGCGTGAACCGCATGCCTGACAGGAAGATGCGGCCGGTCGTGTGTGCAATGGCCAGGTCGTTGGGCTGCAGGATCTTGGGGTTCTGGCAGAAGGTCTCGGAATGCGCAAACTTGCCGTTCTTGCCCACATCCCGCAGCCGCACAACGCGGTGGTTGACGACATCAGCCAGATACGCTTCCTGGATGCCCTGCTTGTCTATGTTGAAACGAATGCCGTTGAACCACGAGTTGGGCTTGGCCTTGTCCTCGAACAGGCTCTTCTGCGAGCTAAACGCCCGGCCGATGGCTGCCTTGTTGTCGCCATAGTGCACAGCATAAAAGTTCCCGTCCTTGTCGACTGCAGCTCCCTCGATGAGCGCGCCAAACCGCGTGGTGCTCGAAGTCAGAAAGGGCCCAGTGTGGTAGACGCTGACCGCTCCGGGAATGGAGGCTGCAGTAGACGAAAGAGCAGCGGCGGATGCGGCTATCATGATGGCTGCGAGTCTCATGGTATTGAAAAGAGGTGGAGAGGAAGAGGAAAAGGTGTAAAGGCTTGGTTTGGCAATGGCTGTCGGCACAGAGTTCCCTCGGTGCAAATGCCGGGGGTTGCCGCGGCTTTATAAAAGGAACAAAGCACATGTGTCTGCCGGATTGCCCCTAGCCTGAAAAGGGAAGCCTTCTGGAGACAACCCCGCACGCTGCACCGTGCATTCGATGGAGCCCAACACCGAGCCAGCCCAAGGACCCGACCGGCTCCTATCCGGCTTCGCACCACGGTACGAGGAACATTCGCCGCAAGCCTGGTGGCAAACAGGGATTTATTTCGTGTCAAGGATACATCACAAAGGTCGGCTAAAGCACAAAGCACAAAGCACATTTAAGGTTGTCAAGCAGAAGCCTGTCAGCAAGGCGAGACCGTCTCCTCAGAGGCTTGGCACCGGGGTGGTCTCGACCGGCAGATGGCTGCTGACACCCCGGGTAACCAGGCCACAGTACTGGCCAAAGCTCTGCTGGAACACTTGCATCGGCGGCTGGAACAGCGACGGCTCGCCCGAGTTCTGGTAAAAGTGGTCGAGCTGGTACCCCCACTGTGACACCATGTCTCTGCCCATGATATGGCCCTCCTCGGACCACCGCGCCGTGGCCATGATGGCCCTGAGCCAGCCATCGGCCAGCAGACGCAGCGTGTCGCGGCGGATCTCGTTGTGCTCCTTGCGGTCCCACTTGGGCATGCGCATGGCGATGTCGGTGGCCTGGGCCAGCAGATCGAACCACTCGGCCGGGTGCGTCAGCACGTTGTCTGTCTGAGCAGCTGCGGTGCTGCGGCTGCTGACCAGGCCGTAGTGCGTGAAATGATCGAGGTACATTACGATGGTGTCGCGCAGCTCTTCGAGCGCCGGCTTGACGCGGTGGTATGTGTAGTCGTCGGCCAAGGGCCCGGATTTGTTGTACGGGAATGCCGCCAGCAGGCGACGCTCTAGACGCACCAGCTGGCTGCACGCCGAGTTGACCGTGGGCTTGGGAACCAGGTCGCGCACCTGCGTCGCCAGGCCCGGGTTCTGGGTGATCAGCATGTCCAGCAGCGAACGCAGGTCCTTCTCCTCCAGCGGCTCTACACAACAGCAGAGCACAATTAGCAAATACCGCACATCTCCCGATTCGTCAGCACTACAGGGCGCTGAAAGAAAAAAAAACTGATGACCATTTTTCATCCACTTACCAAGCAGCTTGTCCAGCGTTACGTCCTTGGGCCTGGTGTCCTCCACTCGTGTCCGCTTCCGTGTGTCAGCGCTATTCTGTGTGTCCCTCGGCTGCTGCTGCTGCTGTCCCGCCTGCGTAATACGACGGCCTGAAGACAGGTATCGGATGCGACGCTGCTCGGGTGGCGGCGACGAGCTCTCCATATTCTCGTCCTCGCTGCTGCTGGCTTTCCGCTTGGTGGTTCTGTGAATGTGCTGCTCGTCCAGCATTCCGTGCATCTGCGACTGGCCAAGGCCCATGCCAAAGCCAATTGCCGAGTTAATGTTGGGCAGAGGCGGACGCGCGGCTCCCCACGCAGTGCCGTTGAATCCGGCATTTGAGCTGAATGTAGCGGCTAGCGCCGATGCCTTCCATTGCCCCTGCTGCGACATTTGTGTGAATTGAATATAAAAAGGGTAGGAATACAAGAGACCAGGTTAAAAGTATAAAAAACGGCTGAAAGAAGGCTGGGATGAAAAAAGTGAGACAGTCTTGCTCCCTTGGTGGGGCGAAGTGCTGGAAATCCTGTGCTGCGCCCGCAACGCAATTTTTTCATCAGCCACTCACAGCAA